CGGTGAGCACCACCTAATAAAGCCCAAGGGAAGGGGGATCAAGACACCAAAACACCCCCATTGCTGAAAAGACCCTGTGCAACCACCACTCGGGGAAGACCTGAGCGATGCACCGGGTGGAATGGGGAGTTTGTTGAATTAATTTAGTCAACGTAGCATCGTAATAAAACCCAAATGCAGCAGTCTTTGGCGGTGTCAGGGGTTTCTTCTGCAGGGAAGGGTGATGTGGGGTTGGGCTGTGGTTTGGAGTTTCATTATACTGAGCATCTCCAAGTGGTTTTTAACTTAAAATACGGGCTTTCATGGCCTCTTTGCTGCGAGCAGATGGTTATATATACTTGACTGTATATGCGTCTTAATTACCAGCAGATGATGGGAATTGCTGTGAGCAGGGGAAAACGTCCCACCACTCAACTTTTACGCTAGGATAGTGACGGTGATATCCCAGTTCTGCTGAACCCGTCCCTCATCTCAAGTCTGTTATCCGTGACCAATTCCAGCAGCGAACCTTAAAAAGAAACAAGATCGGCCCGGCTGCGTGTGGCGCAGCAGGGGTGCCAACCACCTTTTAACGCTGGGGTTTTACGTCGCTGGGTGTGCTTCGGGGGCTGAATTTGCTGTGAAAAAGCGTGTAATTGGTAAGGTCAGAGAGAAAAAAAAAAAAAAGAGGAAAGTATTTTGGGGGGGCACCCTCCTCTCCCTCCCTCATCATCCCCCCATGATTTTTCTCCACACGTGGGTGCAGTTTGCAATGGACAAAGAGTAGGGGTGGCTACGGCACCAAGGGTTTTTTTGGGTTTTTTTTGTTTGTTTGGTTTTTTTGTTTTGTTTTGTTTTTTTTTTTTTTTGCGGGGGGTGTGTGGTGTGAAACAAGGAGAATCGTCGTTTTCCCCAATCGGCGGGGAGGATGGGGGAATGATTTCAAAAAAAAAAAAAAATATTGGAAAATTACAGTTTTGGGAAGGAAAAAGTGTGTCAGAAGTGGGATTTGAACCCACGCCTCCATTCGGAGACCAGAAATCCCCAAGCAGGGAAAGCAAAGCCTTGAGTCTGGCGCCTTAGACCACTCGGCCATCCTGACACTGGCAAAAAGCCTTCCTCACCCTCCTCATCCTCAAGAATTAATCCTTCTTCCACCTTGAGTTTTCCTGCTCCTTTGTAATTTGCAGGAAGATTTTTTTTTTTTTTTTTTTTTTTTTCTTTTTTCAGTGATAAAACCCTCTTCTGGCTCTTTTCTGCTTCCCTGGCCCACGCAGCCTGTCACCTGCTCAGGATAACCCAAGAATTTGTCCGATTTACCATGAAAAACCCCGTGGTCCTAGCTGTAATTTGGTCATCACCTCTAAAAAGAAAAATTAGGAGAAAGACGGAAAAAGAAGAGGCATGCTCATGTGCTCGTGGTGCTGGTAAAATCCCTGATTTAATTTTATTTCACTCCAACTCAGTTTTACTTTCTATTTTTAGTCCGTAGCCAACTTGACCCTAATTACTCTTTTCTTTTTTTCTCATTTTTCTCTTTTTTTTTTTTCCCTTATTTTATTTTGTCTTTTCTCTTTTCCCCTTATTGATTACTCTCTTGGAAGTCTCCCCTATCAGTTTGCAAAACCCAGCAGGCTCCATCAAAAGCTTTTTTTTGACATTTCTCCAGCTGTCCCAGAAAACGAAAGCCTGAAATTTCCAGGTTTAGCTCCAGATCTTCCTGAAAAAGTTCCCCCCCTCATACTGATTATGCAGCTTCATTAAGCAAATGCAACAATTAACTTGGGAAGAATCAAAACCAAGTTGTTTCTGGCTCTTTCTCTTCAAGGAAATGCAGAAGGAAAGGTGTTTTTGGAGGAAAGTTTTTGGGACTTTCACTAGGGTTGTGTCAAGTTAAAAAAAAAAAAAGAAAGAGAAGTGTATGCTCTTTTGGTGTAATTCCACAGTTTTCAGGCAAAAATCCCTATGAACATTCTGGATGATGATGACGAGCTGCCTCATAAAGGCTTTGCCACAGCTGGCCAATCCTGGGCCGCGTTGTCAACCCCTCATTTAAATATGTCTACATAAGACGGTGGGACACCTCTGCAGGGAGGAGCACTGAGTCTGAAGGAGACCCCATGGCTGCAGCCAACGAGAGAGGAGGAAAAACCTTGAGGAGGAGGAGGAGGAGGAGGAGGAGGAAGAGGAAGAAAGTCCAGCAGACGAAGTCTCTGCTCAAGCGGAGAAGGTCTCTGGCTCAGGTTGGGCGACGGAAACCGGCTCTGAAGGGATTAAGAATCTGGTTCAAGAAGGGATCCTGCAACAGGTGCCTCCCCAGGCTGCTGAGGCAACTGTCACCGCCGACCAGGCGCATGTCAGTGAAGGCAAAGAGGCTGATGAACGTCTCCATGGGTGTCCTTTGCAAGGGGGTGGTCATCGAGGCCGACCGCCGGAGGAGGCAACGCCGGGGGTCCTTCATCGGTACCTTGGAGTTGCGGGCGGCGGTGGATGAGGTGATGAAAGGTGACGGGGGAGTGTAGGTTGCCTCCTCCATCCCCAGCAGATCTGCCGGCACGAACTGAATGACAAGGGCCTGGCCTCTCGCCGTGGACATCCCGTCTCCCTCATCGCTTGACTGGGAGAAGAAGAAAAGAGGAGAAGGAAGGAATAAACTCAGTCCTTCTCACCCGCCTGGTTCAGTGTGGTTCCTGTAAAGATGACCGCCAAACTTGGGGTCCCACCAGAACCCCACACCCACGTGCCAGATCAGGAGGTGATTTAGAGGGCAGCTCCTGACTGGGAGCATCTTCAGCATCCTGCCCCCAAGAAGAGTACATTAATCAGCCCCTCTGTCATGCTGGTGGGAGGCCACCCAAGTCCATCTTGGCCTCTTTGAAGACCCCCTCTCCGTGCAGCTGTGAGCTGAGACCTCGGCACCCGCAGGGAAAGGTTGCTCCCCATCGGGAGCATCCTCATCCTCACCTCAGACCACACCAGATGTCTGGGGAGGTTGGAGCTCCACTGAGGAGGTTTGCCATGGTTGGAAACAGGGCCGTGGCCTCTATGACATACCTGGAAGTTACATTCGTCTTGGCTCGGTGCTGAGTAGGAGAGGGAAATGATGGTTTTCTGCCACCGATTCTCTTTATTCAGGGTAAGGGAGGTTTGTGTTTGGAGGTTTGTGTTTAGAGGTTTGGGGTGTTACGATGTTCAAGGAGGTAGGAGGTGGGTGGGCACCACACCAAAACCCGGGGTTGTCCAGATGAAGCCCAATGACCTTACAGCTCAAATGCAACAAAACCCCAACTTTAAACCAGGAGTAGGTAAAGCTCCAAGGACAGCCTGCAGCTCAGTGAAATGGCTGCTGAACCTGCCGTGGCCAGAGCTCAAGTAGCCCCGGGTGTTTGTGCAGCTCTGGGACACCCGAGGAGATGAATTTGGCCAAGGAGGCCAACACTTTGGGCCTATCTGCAGAAGGATCAGTGGCCTCCCCTGGGGTTTTTACCCTCCCAGCTCAGGATTGCCCCCCTCCATGGGATCCAAAGTGATGTGGGGTGGTATGAGGACACCAACCCTGGTGGCCTCTGACCCCTGGGCTCGCTTCTTGCTGGCTGCTGGAGCCCCTTTGGGGGGACCCTGAGGCTTGGGGGCTTCCTCCTGCTCCAGTCTGGCTCGTGTGGGGCTTGAGTGCCCGGACCCCCGCAATGGGTGCACGCACACAGACAGATCACAACCGGTATTTATCACACCACCTTTTATTCCTGAAGCTGTTATCACTACTAGCACATCACCAGAGGAGGGGGGGCAACACCAGTGGGGAGACAAAACAGCCCCCGGGGCCTATTGTATCAAATGTCTTGGTGTGGGGAGAATGTGGAGCAGTGAGGAAAGACAAAAGTCCTTTTTGTTGTTGTGTTTGAGCAGGGTGAGAGCAGGAGATGTCCTGGACTAATTTGGTGGCGAGGAACGGAAGGTGTTTTCTCTTTCCTCCAGCAGAGCAGGAGAAACCTCACCCAGAGTTGGTGTTTTCTGCCGACGGTGGCCACGCTTGGTACCCTTCACACCCCCGGAGACACAGATCTCTCTTCCTTCTCCCACGCGGGCCGAGATAACCAGGGTCCTGGTTGACTTCCAGTCTCTGGAGGAGCTGGCCCGGCATCACTGGGCTTCACCAGCACGCTATGGGAGCTGGAGCGAGCTGCTCATGCACGCAGCTGGTGCACCCCATGGCCGTGGTGGAGCCGCCGGTGCGTGATGACGTTGGAGCTCTGGCTGAAGCTCTTCCCGCACTCGGGGCAGCGGTAGGGCTTCTCCCCGGTGTGCACCCGCCGGTGCTTGGTGAGGGACGAGTTGACGTTGAAGCCCTTTCCACAGTCCCTGCAGACGTAGGGCCGCTCGCCGGTGTGGACCCGCTGGTGGGTGGTGAGATGAGCCCGTTGGCTGTACTGCCGCCCGCACTCCCCGCACCGGAACGGCTTCTCCCCGGTGTGCACGCGCCGATGCCGCGCCAGGTTGGAGACGACCGCGAAGCTCTTGCCGCACACCCCGCAGAGGAAAGGGGTCTCGCCGGTGTGGCTGCGCTGGTGGGTGAGGAGGTAGGAGCTGGTGGTGAAGCCCTTGCCGCACTCGGAGCACTTGTAGCGCTTCTCGCGACGGCCGGCGTCGCGGTGCCGGATGAGGTGGGGTCGGTCGCCGAAACCCTTGGCGCAGTCGGCGCAGCTGTAGGGCCGCTCGCCGCTGTGCGTCCGCTGGTGGGCGATGAGCTTGGAGCTGATGGTGAAGCCCTTCCCGCAGTCGGCGCAGGCGTAGGGCCGCTCACCGCTGTGCAGCCGTCGGTGGGTGATGAGGTTGGAGCTGCCGCTGAAACGCTTCCCGCAGTCGGGGCACTCGTAGGGCTTCTCGCCGGTGTGGGTGCGGCGATGCTTGATGAGGTCGGAGCTGACGTTGAAGCTCTTCCCGCACTCCCGGCACGGGTACGGGCGCTCGCCCGTGTGCAACCGGCGGTGGGTCACCAGGTGGGAACGTTGACTGCACCGCCGGCCGCAGTCGGGGCACTTGTAGGGCTTCTCCCCGGTGTGGCTCCTCCGGTGACGCACCAGGTTGGACACCACGTTGAAGCTCTTGCCGCAGTCGGCGCACCGGTAGGGCCTCTCGCCCGTGTGGATGCGACGGTGCGTCACCAGCGCCGAGCTGTGCCCAAAACCCTTCCCGCAGTCGGGGCATTCGTAGGGCTTGTCACCACCGTGGCTTTGCTGGTGACGGAGCAAGTTGGAGAAGACCCCGAAGCTTCTCCCGCAGTCAGAGCAGGAGTGCTGGGACCCCCGGCGCCGGGGATGGAAGCTCTTCTCGCTGGTGGGATGAGGGTTGGGTCTACCTCTGGGGCGAAGGCTACGGGGGAACAATTCCCTGCGTGTCCCTGGAGTTTCCCTCCCAGGACAACCCTGGACCTCCTCTTGGCCTTTCGCTCGGGAGCTGTGGTGGATGTTGGTTGGCTCGTGATGCTGGGAGACGTCCTCCAGGCAGGTCTTGATGTCTGGGTCTGGTTGCGTGGCGATGTCCTTCATCCCACTCGCCATCCCACCCTCTGCAGAGGAAAGAGACGAAGATCAGGAAGAGCCAGTCCCTGGCTGGGGTGGAAAAGGGAACCCACCGATGAAGCAGAGCGAGGGAAAAAAAATGGAAGAGGGAAAGCCGAGAAAGAAGAAAGCTCGTGTGAGCTCCAGCTTCAGCCCAGGCCCAAGCACTGACCATTGGACAGCTGGCAAAGCTTGGGCTGGAGTTCAGCTTTGGGTTCGTAAAACCCTCTGTAACCCCAAAAGACAGCTTCTGCCTTTGATTCCCATGGGCTGAGCGTTCCACTCCAGTGTGCATCTGAAGGCAACATCTCTGAAGGGATCAGGAGAGGTTCTGGGACCCCTCTCCTGGAAGATACCAAGCTCAGGCTGGGTCTCTTAGGGCCTGGGTAGAAGTCCCAGGTGTTTTGCTTTTCGCCCCGATGCTTTCTAGGTTATTTAAGCCAGTTCCTCCCCTGTGGAAGAAGGGCCTTGCATCTGAGTTTTGAGGAGCTGAGGTCCACCTCCTCTCCTCCAAACCCAGCCCAGAGGAGATCCTGTCAGATTGAGGGTCAGCAGAGCTGGTTCCTGAGACAGAGCAGAGGTCTGGATGCATTTGAGGAGCTACTACAAGAAGATCTGGGGGGCTCTGCTGGCGCAAGGATGTCGCAAGAGCTGGGCACAGCTGAGAAAGGTTCTCTCCTTGTTCTCCTACATACCATCTCCTTCCACCATGGCTGAAGAGAACACGGGGCTGGAGAGAACGTGGTAGAACATGTGCTCCTCTGAAGAAAGAGGGGATGGAGGGTGCTATGGGTCCCAAATAGGTGTCCCGAGGGGGAAGCACAATTGCCAGAAGCAATGGGGAAAGGCTCCTTCACCTCCAAAGTCTGGAGGAGCATCCCCTGTGCCCACCCAACCCCAAGAGTTAGCCCAGGAAGGAGGGAAGGTGCATCCTTACCCAAAGAGGAGTCATTTCCAGCACTCTCCTGCATGGCTTCCCGGTACTGGGCCCGCTGGCAGGGAGCGGTGAAGTACCGAGCCACCTCCTTCAAGGTCACTGGACACTGAAACAACAAAGATTTCACCCGCCACCGTGCTCAGCTCAGGGCAAAAGGGAGAGGACCCAAGGCTCCGTTCGGCAGAGCTGCAGGAGAGCCCCAAAAGATGCTGGCAAGGATCAGAGATATCCAGGTATCGTTCCCCCCGGGGTGTAATTAAGCTGTGGAAAGCTGCAGGACATCATAGATGCAAAAGGTTCAGAAAACAGCTGGCTAAACCTGGGGAAAAAAAAAAAAGAAACGTGAAAATGTTTCCAGCCCAGAAATATCTGATGGGGACGAGGGAGCTGAAGGAGCTCAACCAGGCTGGGCTCAACCTCTCCACTCTGTTGTCTGTGCCTTTTCCTGACACTTGGAGACACAAAACCCCACGTCCTGCTGTGACTTTCCACCTTCCTTTTGGTTTTCAGATGGGAATCTTGGCTCCAAGGCTCAGCCTTGTCCCGTGCCCACCACGGGCTCCCTCCTCTGCTCCTCACCACCTCTCCTGCACCCCGACCACCCACCACCGGTACATGGGGACCTTTTGGTCCCAAAGGAGTTGCAGAAAGGTGATAACCCACAGCTACGGTCAGGGAGCAGCTTGTACAGCCCCACTGGACTGAGCAGAAGGTACCCGGCACTGACGGTTCAGGTCAGCCAAAATGCATTTTTCCCACCCCGAAGGAGAAACTCTCCCTCACCTTTTCCAGCTCGGCTGAGGCCATGTCCCTCTCTGAGTCCCTCGGCAGTGATGGGGATGCTCTGCTGGAACCTATGAGGGGGAGAAGGAGGTGCTGAATTATTCCCTGGGTGGGGGGGAAAAGCTGGGATAAATGCATCTGTGCGAGGGAGGAAGCAGCCTCCTTCGTTCCTGCGGGTTTTTTCCCCTCGGGACACAAGAGAGGGCTCAGCCAGCCCTCCCCCAGCAACGCTCCGCCTGGGCGGACCTTTTCCACCTTCTTGGGAGCAGATCTGCTGCTCGGATCACCAGGGAAGAGCCAGCCAGGTCGTGGGAGCAGCTCTGGTCTTCCCCGTGCCCTCTCGTGGCACATCCCCCATGCAGAGGGATGGGGCAAGGACAGGGACCGGTGCCCCTTCTCTCCGGTCCCAGTAAAGGGACTGGGGCTGGGCTGGGAGGCACGGCGTCCCGTGTAGGTCTCTCCCTCCTTCCCTGTGTCCCTTACCTGGAGTTTCTGGCTCGGGATGTGGTGGGGGCGAGGGGGCTGCTGCTTGCCTCGACGGGCCCGGGGATGGCGGCAGGGCTCTGCCTGCCCCACGCCAGCCCCCCCACCGCCCCAGCCCCTGCTCCGGGGCCAAACCTGGGAGCCCCCTTTTCCCCTCCGTCTTCAGCATCCAGTTGATCCAACCCCTTCCTGTGTCCTCCCATACCCAGCCGAGCTGCAACGCTCTCAGAGCCACCCGGGGTTGCTGGGGGTGTCCCCCCCACGCCCCCCCAGCATCAGGGTTTGGCCCCACGGGCCTCCCTTGGGGACATCGGTCCCACTGCCACCAGCCCAGGAGTGATGGAGCAGGGGGGCCGTGGAAATCGGGTCCTCTCCCTCCTTCGGCGGGGAGGCTGGGGTTAAACGCCCGCGCGTTGAGGAGGGCAGGCTTTAGGGCTGATTTCCCCATCCTTGTGCTCTTTCCAAAGCAAATGAAAAGAAAATTATTGCTTCCTCTCCCCTCCCGGCGGCTTTTCCCAAGCGGGGAGGGATTAAACCGCCACCAAACCCCCTGCACCCACCGTAGAGAAAAGTGTCGGCGCGGTTTCAAATCTTCTGGGCTTTCTCGGAGGCAGAAATCCAGGCTCCTCTCTCATTCCCCCGCTGCATTTCTTTCGATTTTTCTTCACAGCGTTGTGTTTTCCTTGGCTTTCGCGTTCTCCTCCTCCAGCAACAAGGAGGGATAACTCGGTAAGTGGAAATTCCCTCCTTTTTCCCACCCGCAAGCGCCTGCCTCCCGAGCCCGGAGCTTTGGCGGAGGGGGGGGAGGAAAAAAAAAAAAAAACCAACCCGTTTTCACCAGCCACGTGATAAAAACGGCGTTTGAGCCGCTTTTCCAGGTGGAAAACCTAAATTCTTGCTCGCGCAGCTCCCATCCCTGATGGGCCCGGTCCCCCCCTCTCCCACCTGAGGGATGCCCCAGAGAGACCCCCATCCCCTGCCCCACGGATACTCGAAATATTTATATATATATCCTGTTTCTGCCATCACGATCCCTCCCCCCTTGGCAGAGTTTCAAGCAAGGTTGAGGTTCCCCCCCAAACCGCTGGGTTAAAAGGGAAGAGCCCGGGGGGCAAGGCGATGGGGCAGGACTGTAGTGGGGAGGTCTGGGGAGGTCTGGGGAGGTTTGGAGAGGTCTGGGGAGGTTTGGGGAGGTCTGGGGAGGTCTGGGGAGGTCTGGGGAGGTCTGGGGAGGTCTGGGGAGGTCTGGGGAGGTTTGGAGAGGTCTGGGGAGGTTTGGGGAGGTCTGGGAAGGTTTGGGGAGGTTTGGGGAGGTTTGGGGAGGTCTGGGGAGGTTTGGGGAGGTCTGGGGAGGTTTGGGGAGGCTTGGGGAGGTTTGGGGAGGTCTGGGGAGGTTTGGGGAGGTCTGGGGAGGTTTGGGGAGGCTTGGGGTGGGGGGAAGCCAGGGTTGGGTTACCTCTAGAGGGCTCTGGGTAAAATGTTGTCGCCGAGGAGCCTGTTCTTGGCGTCTCCTCTCTCCCGGATACCGGCTTGGGCTTCCGGAGCAAAGCCATGCCCGGCGTCTCCTCCATTGTGCCCTGCTGTCGGGTGGGTCGGCGATCCTCGGGGTGCAAAGAGGCTGGGGGGGGGGGGTGTGTCTGTGCATCCCTCCCCTTCCTCGCAGCCTCGGAAGACGTTTCTCTCCGGGCAAGCTCAGCAGAGGCAGCTCCAGGCTCGGCCGACAGCGAGTCCTGAGCCGGCAGCTCCAGGTAAACGGGGAGAAAGCCCCGAGGAGGGATGTGATCCTGCTCTGCAGCTGGTCCTGAGCTGCGTCAGGGCTGGGGCCGGCAGGATCCGGCCCTTGGGGATGTTCCCGGGGAGGGGGCGCAGCTCCTTTGGGAAGAGGACAGACGATGAGCAGGGTGGGGAGGGAGGTCCACGGGGCACGCAGCTCAGCTCCTGCGACGCGTGTCCCCCCCCCCCCCAGTGCCCCGTCACCCCGGGAGGGCTGAGTCCCAGTAAGATGAGGACTTGGGGGGAACCGGGATGCTGGAGGGAGGAAAGTGGAGATTTTGGGGGAGATGCCGTCTGCTGGAAGGGTGTCGGGGGGGGGGGGGGAACAGGGACCCTCCCGCACCCCAACCCCGAGCAGGCTCAGTCCTGGGTGGAGGGACCGTCCCTGTGCCGCAGCCGGGGGAGCAAAACCCCCAATGTTTGTCAAAACACCCCCAGAAAAAGCACCGAAACCCGAGCAAGAAGCGCTACCCAGGGGATTTCCCCCATCTCAAGGGATTTTTTTTTTTTCCTTCTCCACAGGGGATTTGTCAGGAGCCCTGAGAGAGGAAGGGAGGGAGAAACCCTCCGTCCCCCCGTGCTTTTCCCCGTCATGGAGCCGTGGGTGATGCTGGACCCGCGGCAGAAAGCCCTGTACCGGGACGTGATGCAGGAGAGCTACGAAACGCTGATGTCCCTTGGTAAGCAAGCACAAAAAAATCCTCTTTCCTTCTTCTTGAACATCCCCCGGTGGTTTTTCCTTGCTCTTTTTCTTTTTTTTTTCCTCCTGTCTCTAGCAGGGAAGCAAAGGCGGATGGGAAAGCGGGGGGGAGGAGGAATCCAGGCAGGTTTTTTCCCCAAACCCCAGCCTTCTCCTTAATTTTTTTGCTCTATTGATCCCTCTGCGTTCATTTTTCCTTCTTTTAGTTGGAAATACAGGCAATGGGAAGCAAAGGCGGATGGGAAAGTGAGGGGGAGGAAGAATCCAGGCAGGCATTTTCCCCAAACCCCAGCCTTCTCCTTAGTTTTTTTGCTCTATCGATCCCTCTGCATTCATTTTTCCTTCTTTTAATTGGAAATACAGGCAATGGGCGGGTGTGTTTAGCATCTCCCCCCTTCCCAGTTCAAACTGGGGCCAGGTCTCCCATCGCATCGCTCTTCCTTCTCTCTGGGAGACTTAATGTTTTTTTTTAGGGAGAGCCTGTTCCTGTTCTGCCGATTTCTTTGTCACCCCTTGCTCCGGTCAAGGCCACGCTCTCCCTTTTTTTTTTTTTTTTTTTTTTTTCTCCTTTTCCCGTCTCCCCAGCAGCACAGGGGCTGGTGAGTGAAAAAGCAGCGGAGGAAGGAGCGGCGGCGGAGAGCTGCGAGGAGCTCGAAGCCCGCTCGTCCCGCAGCCCCGAGAGGGAAAAGATCCTCGGCTCGAACAGACGGAAAACGAAGCGCCCGGATAAAGCCGTGCCGCACGGCGCTGCCAAGATGCCCAAAGGCGCGCCCGTCCCCAAAATGGACTGTGCCAAACCCCTCCGTGGGGCGGCCAGCAAAGGACCGGCACGGGAGCGGCCGTTCGGCTGCGCCGACTGCGGCAAAAGCTTCCCCTGGGCATCGCATTTGGAGCGGCACCGGCGGGTGCACACCGGCGAGCGGCCTTTCGGCTGCCCGGAGTGCGGCGAGACTTACAGCCAGAGCTCCCACCTCCTCCAGCATCGCCGGACCCACGCCAGCGACCGGCCCCACAAATGCGGCGACTGCGGCAAGCGTTTCGCCGGCGCCGCCGAGCTGGCGGCCCACGGCCGGGGCCACGCCGCCGAGAAACCCCACAAATGCGGCGACTGCGGCAAGGGTTTCGTTTGGGCGTCCCACCTCGCCCGGCACCAGCGGGTCCACACCGGCGAGAAGCCTTACCGGTGCGCCGAGTGCGGCGAAGCCTTCAGCCAAGGTTCCCACCTCGCCAAGCATCGCCGGAGCCACACCGGCGAGCGGCCCCACCGCTGCCCGGCTTGCGGCAAGACCTTCTGCCAAAGCTCCGACCTGGCCCGTCACCGCCGCACCCATTTAGGCAAGAAAGCCCTGCGCTGCGGCGATTGCGGCAAGCTTTTCCGAGCCGGGCCGGCCCTGGCTCGCCATCAACGGGGTCACCGGAGGGAACGTGCCCACCGCTGCGCCGACTGCGGGAAGGGTTTCGTCTGGGCGTCCCACTTGGAGCGGCACCGGCGGGTGCACACGGGCGAGCGCCCCTTTCCCTGCGGCAGCTGCGGCGAGCGCTTTGCCCAAAAAGCTCACCTCCTCCAGCACCGCAAGACCCACTCCGCCGACCGGCCTTACAAATGCGGCGACTGCGGCAAGCGTTTCGGCGAGGCTCCCCCTTTCCTCGCCCACCAGCGGGGCCACGCCGCCCAAAAAAGCTACACCTGCGGCGAGTGCGGCAAAGGCTTCGCCTGGGCGTCCCACCTCGAGCGGCATCGCCGCGTCCACACCGGCGAGAAGCCCTACGAGTGCCCCGAGTGCGGCGAAGCCTTCAGCCAGAGCTCCCACCTCACCAAACACCGCCGGAGCCACCTCCCCAAAGCCGCTTTCCCCTTCGCCCCCCCAACAACCGTTGCCCTCCGCCACGACCCGGCTGGCGGCGGGGGACGAGCCCCGCGGGGCCGTGGGGTTGGTGAAACCACCCGGAGCCCGCGGCGGTGAGGAGCCTCGAAGGACCGAAACGCCCCCTCGGATGGGGAGGAAGGATTGTGCTCAAGGGGAAAACGGGGCCTGGGGACACTCAAAGGACACCAAGTGACATTTAAGAGGGTGGAGGGTGGCGTTGGGGTGGGCGACGGGGCTGCTCCAGGGGGGGGATTTATCCGTCCCGTGCCCTGCTGTGACGTGGACGCTGGAAAATGGGCGTCTCGGGGCGGGGAATGAGCCTCTCCCCGAGGGAATCGGCGCTTTTCTCCACCGGGACTGGGTGTGGGGGGGGTAACGCGGGGCTGGTTCTGGTGCCAAACCGCGGGGGGGTCGTTTCGTGCCCGCTCGTGGCTGCCGGCGAAGATCCCGAAGGCGAGATACCGGGGGAGCAGCGCGGGAGGTGCCGCCGTGGGGTGAGGAATAAAAAAAAAAAAGAGAAAAAAAAAAAAAAAAAAAGAGAAAAAAAAAAAAAAGGACAACCCCCCCTCTGTAAATCCACCCCCAGCCCCGCAGCCGCCTGTGTCTGCCGCTTCTCACGCGCCGAGCCAGGGCTCCGCCGCTTTTCCCCGCTCCTGGTGGGAAACGCCGCGAGCGTCTCCTCCCTCTTTCCAAAGACAAAATCCACGCCGAGGGATTTTTCTTTTTCGTGGAACTACCTTCTACTTTATTTGCTAACACGAGCTGAGGAAACCCGGCCACTTCCACTCTTTCCAAATTCCCTCCGCACCACCCAAGCAGCAATTTTTTTTTTTGGGGGGGGGGGGGGGGCGTGGAGGGGTTTGTCCCAGCGAGGAAGCAGCAGAGCTGGCAACCGATTCAGTGATTTGGGTCCCCCCCAGCTCTTTTCAGAGCCGTTTGCCCCCCGCCCCCCCCCCCCCCGCCCGAATAAAGCCCCCTGAGGAAGGGGGTTCCCTGGGTGGTTTTGCCGATGGGGAAAACCCATACGCCCCAGCTGCTTTGCCCCCCCTTCCCACCCTCCCCCAACGGTGGGGCAGAGGATGAGGAGGGTTATAGGCAGAAGTGGCGTCTCCCCACCGCCCTAAATTATCACCCAGCCCTCCCCAGATCTACTCCCCCCCCCCCCAAGTCTCCCCTAGTCCCTCCTCTCCCAGTCTCCCCGCTACGCTGGTTGCTACCCCCCACACACACCCCCCAGCACAAGCCGCTCACCCTCCCCACGCCCCCTCCATCCCCCCCTTCCCCACCCTGACCCTCCACCCTCGGGGGGTATCCTGCCCCCCCCCCTTTTTTACCCCCTCCCCAGTTGTTGAAACAGCCCTCTCCCACCCTGTGCTGGGGGGGGGCAGACCAGCTTCCCACCTCAGTTGCGGGGTGACCCCAAAGGCGGAGGGTGGCTCTGAGCGCCCGCCCCCTCCTTGGTCCCCACAGCCCCATTTCAGGAGCTGGGGGGAGGCAGGGAAGCCCAGGGCTCCTGGGGGGCAGAGGCATCGCTTTGCGGGGTGTCCCCCTCCCCGGGTCTCCACGCCACGGTGGGGGGCAGGAGAGCCTTGGCAGCCCAGCCCCTGGGGGCTGCGGAGGAGGAAGAAGAGGAGGAAGGCACGGGGTGCTGCTGGAAAACAGATCCGGGCTCTTCGGGCCAGAGATCAGGGGGTGCCGGCGTCCCCCCTCGCCTCTCGCCTTCCCACCATGCGGGCGGCAGCAAGGAGAGGGGGCTGCGGCTCCCGGTGCCGGCGGCGTGCAGTCGCCGGTGAGCTGCCAGGGCCGTGCCGAGGCCGAAGGCTTTGCCGCATTCGGGACAGACGTGCCGCTTCTCCGGGCCGCCCTGGGCGTGGGCGCGCTGGTGCCGGTTGCGGTGGGAGCTGCGACCGAAACACTTGCCGCAGTGGGCGCAGGAGAAGGGTTTTTCGCCGGTGTGGGTGAGCCGGTGCCGGTCATAGTGGGAGCTCCAGGCGAAGCCTTTGCCGCAGACGCCGCACTGGTAGGGTTTTTCACCCCGGTGAAGCCGCCGGTGCCGCTCCAAGCTGGCCGGGGTGCTAAACCCCTTGCCACACTCGGGGCAAGCGTGGGGCCGGCCCGGTTGGGCGGCGTGGGTCCGGCGGTGAGCCAGCAAAGTGGAGCTGACGGCGAAGCTCTTCCCGCACTCGCCGCAGCGGTAGGGCCGCTCGCCGGTGTGCACCCGGCGGTGCCGTTCCAGGTGGGAGCTGACGGCGAATGCCCGCCCGCACTCCCCGCAGCGGAAAGGCTTCTCCCCAGTGTGGATGCGGCGATGGCGCTCGAGGTGCGAGACCCAGCCGAAACTCTTCCCGCACGCCCCGCACGGGTAAGGTTTGCCGCTGCCTCCAGCACCGGTTTCCTCGGCGGTTGCCGGCGGGGGTTTGGCGGCGGCGGCGCCGGTTTGGGGCTGCCGGGTGTGGGTGAGCTGGTGTTTGGCCAGGGCTGAGCCCCAGCGGAAGCAGCGTTTGCAGTCTGGGCAGGGGTACGGCCGCTCGCCGGTGTGGACGCGTTGGTGTTTGAGGAGGTTGGAGCTCTGGCCGAAGCATTTGCCACGCTGCTCGCAGCGGTGGGGCCGCGGGGAGTCGCCGGCGGGTTCGGCACCGGCCGGCGGCGTCTGGGTGCCCTTGTGCTTGAAGCGCTGGGGGTCCGTTTGGTGGTTGAGGCGTTTGCCGCAGTCGGCGCATTTCTGAGGGGGCGGCGGGGGCTCTTCCTCCGCCTCCCCGTCCTCCTCCTCCTCCTCCTCCTCCTCGGCGGCGGCGGCGGCGTGGGTGCGCATGTGGCGGTCGAGGTGGGAGCTCCAGGCGAAGGCTCGCCCGCACTCGGCGCACTGGAAGGGCTTCTCGCCGGTGTGGATGCGGCGATGCCGCTCGAGGTGGGAGCTCCAAGCGAAGGCTTTCCCGCACACCCCACACTCGTAGGGTTTCCCGCCCAAGTGACTCTTTTGGTGCCGGTCGAGAGCCTCCGGATCGGCGAAGCTGCGGCCGCACTGGGGGCAGCGGTTGGGTTTCTCGCCGCCGGGCGCGTGGGTGCGCTGGTGGGTGAGCAAGGAGGAGCTGACGCTGAAGCGGCGCCCGCAGTCGGGGCAGGCATAGGGCCGCTCGCCCGTATGGACCCGCTGGTGGATGGTGAGGTCCGAGCGTTGGATGAAACACTTGCCACAGTCAGGGCACTCGTGGGGACGGTCGCCGGTGTGGATCTTCTGGTGTTTCACCAGGGCGGATTTATGGCTGAAGCTCTTGCCGCACTCGCCGCACGTGTTGCTGGGCTGGCTCTCGCCCGGGCGTGCGGCCGTTTCCCCTGGTCCCCCGCTCCTCCCCGCCTTCGCCCCGGCCTCCGTGGGGCTCGAAGGATGCTCCTGGCCCACAGGTTTCATCCCTTCGGGCTCTTTCTCAGCAGCTTCTTCTCGAGGGGGCTCCCGCTCTCCTCCTGCTTCGTCCTCTGCGGGGCACAAAAAGAGACAGACACAACCCAGGCAGGAGACGTCGTCTCTCCCGGGGCTGGGAAGACGGTGGGAAAAGGAGAGCAAGGAGGGGTTCCTCCTCCTTTTTTATTTCACACCCACTCTTCCGTGTAAACACTTCTAGCAGAGGCATCTCCAAGCCCCATCGCTCCTCTCTGCCAACGACACGGACGTGGTAATTAATCCCCCACCACGTCTACTGCACCTCCGTGGGCCACTCCAGAAATGCAGGTGCCTAGGAAAGGCGTCCGGCATTTCCATTTTGGCCAGGACATCCCTCTGGCTTTACAGCCTCTCCTCCCCGGCCACCTTTCTTCCCCAGACGAGGTTTGCAGTCTTGGGGTACGGTGGCAGCTGTTACGGTGGCGGTTTGCTCGTTTTGGGGAGAGGTCGGTGGGGGGAGAAGCCCTCCACGCTTGCAGGAGCCGAACGCAGGCTTTTTTTCCCCGCTGCGGTCGAGGCGCGATCGGAGGCTCACCTGCAGCCGGGGTGTCCTTGGGCACGTGGAGATCCAGGGCTGTGGGTTCATCCCTGTGGTCCAGGCGGGACAGCAGATCGGGTTTGGCAACGGGGAATTCTGGAAAGGAGAAGGGGGGAGGGGGGGGTGTGAGCAACACGGGTCAGGAGGGTCTGCCCTTCCCAGCAGCCCCCCAGCACGAAGACGTGAGGATCCAGCAAAGCGGATCCTCCGCCCGCCCCCAAATTTTCCGCTGCGGGAAGGGTCCTCACCCAGCGCCATCAGCGTCTCGTAGCTCTCCTGCATGACGTCGCGATACAGCGCTCTCTGTCGCGGGTCCAGCAGCACATACGGCTCCATGGCTGGTGCCACCAGACCCCCTGAAAAAAGGAGGTAACCCCCCGCCTAAGCAGAGCCCAGCCTGCGACCCATCACCAACCTGCAGCCTATGGATTTGCATGTCGGCTGGATTCTTCAGGCAAATCCCTCTATTTTATTAACCTGTGGAGCCTCTAATAATCTAATCACTACTATTCTCTAATAAGCTAACAGAAAGGCTAAGCTGAATCACAAAATGGGGGTAAGGCGTGGGGACAGGTGGCTAATAAAAACCTCCATCCTTTACTCCGCCACATATTTTCCCAAGTCCTGCAGGAACTTTGTACCCTCTGCCTCTATCAAATCAGGCTGAACAATGTTTTGGTTTGTTTGTTTGTTTGTTTGTTTGTTTTTCCAAAAGTTAATGGGGAGGAGGAAGCAGAAGTGGAAAACAGAAATGCAGACAGCATAATTCTGTAAAAAAAAAAAAAAAAAGATAAAACCCAGCCCACGAAGAACATATTTCTGTAACCCGCAGACGACACTGCTGAGAGATCTTTACCCTAAAATTCATTTTCACCTAGATTTTATCTAACAGCTAATTCCTACTACACCAAACCCTGGGTGCTTGTCTACATGATCCTTCACCTTCCCAGAGACTCCTGTCCCAAATATTCCAGACACCCTTCCCGAAAAACCCCATAGCAATTGCTCCTCCTTCTCAAAGAGGATAAATCACCCAGTTATTTCTCTACGCAAATCTCCAGTGCTCAGAGACTGTGCTTGAGGGAAAACGTGAGTTTTCCCAGCTGTAGGAAGAGGGTTTGGTGCTCTCCTTTGCAAAAATAATTTACAAAGCAAATTTCCACCACTTCCCTGACCCCTTCCTCATCTTCCTCTGTAAGCACCAGGCATATTAGGATCCCAATGTGTGGGTTGATTTATGTTTTGGGTTTTTTTTTCTAGCAGCAAAGCTGTTACAGCTGCAGAGGACGAAGGAGTTAGGTTGAGAAAAGGTGGATTTGCCGAAGGCTGTCGCACACTTACTGATGCCAGGAATAAAAGGGTGATTTCACGCACAGACTGCAGATCCCTCCTGCAATTTTTGCCTTTTTTTTTTTAAAAAAAAAAAAAAAAAAAAGTCCCCACCAGCATCTCAGCCCGCTTCATTTATTCCCTGGTAGTTTGCCATCCTGCTCAAAGAAATAAAAATAAAGGGGTCAATACCGCACGCCCTTGCCGACACCGCCGCTCCCGGCCCCCCCGGCAGCCCGTCCAAAAATGAAACCCACCCGCCTGGATGAAGCGAGGGGGGAAGGACAGACGCCTGCTGAAAGACAACAGGGCTGGGGTTTTGGTGGGTTTTTTATTTTTTATTTTTTTTTTTTAATTATTTTTTCCCCCCATCCCAGGGGACAGAGAGCATCCGGGCACTGAGTTTAAGCCTGGTGTTTGTGCAGGCACCCTGGGGAGGAGAGCTGGAGGGGACGGGGGGAGAGGGGAAGGGAAGGATGGAGGGAGAAAGGAAAGGGATGGGGAGAAAAAAAAAAAAACAAAACACAACAACCAAAAAAGGAGCCATTTTCCACTCCCTTTCCGCATCCAAAGACCGAACTTCCCCATTACCTGCAGTCTCTGGCTTGGGAGGTGCTGTCGGCAAAGCCCGGAGATGCCCCCCCCTACTCTTTTTCCCCCCAGAAAGCCCCTTTTCCCCCAAAAATATGGGGCATGGAGGCAGCGAGGGGCTCTGTGTGTGTGTGTGTGTGTGTGTGTGTGTGTGTCCCGGGGATGCGAGGGCCACGGGTCAGCACGGTGCGGTGGCCGCGGTGTGACCGGGGAAGCCCAGTTCTTCTGATATCCTGAGCAATAAGAGTTAAAAAAAAAAAAAAAAAAAAAAAAAAAGGGGAAGGAAGGAAGAAATTTAAAAAAAAAAAAAAAAAGGGGGGGGGGATGGTTGGAAGGAGAGGGGAGAAAAGAGCAAAGAGCTCTGCACAATTACCAGGGCCCTCTGGTGGCAATAGCGACGGTGTCTCTGGGCGGAAATTAATTAAAAAAAAAAAAAAAAAAAAAAAAACAAACGACCACCTTGCAAAGTGAAAAATGTTCACTGGCGTCCCGGTGAGGTGCTTTTTCCCTCAAAACGTGGAATCAAGGATGGTTTTGGGGTTCACCTGCCCCTCTGTGGGGACGAGGACGTGCCTCTGGGGAGACATTTTCCTCATGGAGGGCTGTGGCGGTGGAGCTCCTTGCTGCCGGTTGGAAGAGCAACCCCATAAATTTATTGGTGATAAACCCATTAATGACCACTTTGGGGCCAAAACCCCTAAATTAAGAGCTGGGGGGGGGGGGGGTGTTGTACTAAGAGGATGTTTCAGCAAGTGTGGACTGCGGGGGCTGGGCTGCCGGTCTGCAGAAATCCTCCCATTGTGGTGGCCGTTCTGATTCTTTACTGCTGGGTAAGGGTCTGGTTTTTGGGGGTAAAAGGGGGGTTTTCTGTCAACAGGGGTGGCAGCCTGCGTGTTGGAGATGCAGGGCCGGCAAGGAGCACGGTGAAAATGTCTTGAAGAGCCCCCTGAGGGGGTAGACCGCCCCACGCTGCGGAGGAGGCTGCAGCCATCTTCCCGCTCTCCCCCTGCCTGAGGGCGAGGCCGCCATTTTGGAGGAGGGCAGCGGCCACCATTTTGGAAGTGGGCGCGGGGCCGCCATTTTGGAAGCGGGCGACTGCCCCCTGAGGCCACCCTGACCCGCAGGGCCCAAATTAACGTTTTTTTTCACCCCATTTTTTTGCCCTCCGCAATCCAATAGTAATGTCTCCCGCAAATATTTACTCCCCAAAACAAATTTCACCAGAGGCAGTGAGGAAAATCTAAAGAAAAGCAGAGAAATCGTGGTGTTTTCTCCTCCCATCTGCTTCATGCTTCTCCCGCAGCAAGAGGGATGCTCCTGGTAGGGATTTTAAATCTGGGGAAGGGCTATTGCGTGGGTGTAGGGAGGGTTTGGATTGTTTTTCTCTTAATTCAGGATCTTTGAGCTGATCTATGACACTTGCAGTGACACGGTGGAGAGGCTGACGCAACAAAGAGGCCGATGCTGTGAAAACCATCCCAAACAGATTCTCTTTCCCACTTTCACGCCAGAAACCCCCAGTCCAGTGAGCGCCAACCCTGAAAATCGGTTTCTGAAGGAAAAAAAAGTCCATGGGGAGCTCCAACTTATTTTTTCACCGTATTTAATCCTTTGCGCTGGAAAACCAGCTGCTGGGTGACGGGTGAGCGAGCCTGGAACAAAAATGTGCTCCTTTCCACAAAAAACACTACTTTGGAGGTAAAATGGGCTGCCTTGAGGATCTGCTGTGACCAAGGGAAGCTCCAAACCCACCTGGCGTCTCCTTTTATTAACAGAAAAATGGTTTAAAAATGATAAAAAGCAAAGCCAGGCAAATCACCCACTGTCTGATAGTGCTGTTAAGGCTTAATTATGAACGTGAAGCTGGATTTAAATTATTTAAATGCCACCGGGGTTGTTGGGGTGGGTTTTGGGAACCCACCTCCACCCCCTGGGGTGCTCCCTGCACCCCGGTGCTTTTGGCACCCCAATCCTGGTGTCTCACTGATGCTGGGGTGAATTAACCTGATTTAGGGGCACCCATGAAAACATCCCTTTGCTCCAGTCCGGTGCTGAAAAATCAAGGGGAAAAAGCAAGAAAAATGGGAGGATGTTTCATCAGGGCTGTCAGAAGAATTAAGAAAAATTAAAATAGATGTCCCACATTCAGCCTAACAAAGACACTTTGTTGTCAGAACTTGAGACATTAAGATGATAATTTTTAGTGATTATTAATACGGGATTTAATACTCTGTGTTTAATGGAGGCCGGATGAAGAGATGGGGATAAATTAATGTGGTTTTGAAGTTTATTTTCAGGGAAGTCTTGGGATTGCGGAGCCCCGTGGATGCAGGGATGCTCCAAGGGGCTGTTGCCTGCCGTGGGGTACCCTGGGGAGAAGTGATGCCCACGGGGGGCTGGTACCCCAATACTGGGGGGGTCCCTGTCCCCGATCCTCCCCCTCCAAGGCAGGCAGAAGAACCCTGGCATGCGGTGCGGCACCATCCCCCATACCCTATAGACATCGATGCATCCTCCGTGCCCCCCCCCCCCAACATCCTATAAGCACCCAGACATTTGGGGTCTTCCAGCACCACATACAGACACACCCCCTCCCCAGCACTCTATAGGCACCGATGCTCCCACCCCCCCACAACACCCTATAGGCACCCAGATATCCGGGCCCCCTTCCCAGCACCCTATAGGCACCTATACATCCACCCTCCCCCCAACATCCTATAGGGATTCAGACATCCGGGCCCCCTTCCCAGCACCCTATAGGCACCGATGCTCCCACACCCCCCCCCAACACCCTATAGGCACCCAGACATCCGGGCCCCCTTCCCAGCACCCTATAGGCACCTATGCATCCACCCTCCCCCCAACATCCTATAGGGATTCAGACATCCGGGCCCCCTTCCCAGCACCCTATAGGCACCTATGCATCCACCCTCCCCCCAACATCCTATAGGGATTCAGACATCCGGGCCCCCTTCCCAGCACCCTATAGGCACCGATACATCCACCCCCTCCATCATCCTATAGGCACCCAGACATCCGGGCCCTATAGAAACCCCCCCACACCCGCCCCCGCCCTCCCGCGCATGCGCACTCCCACCCCTCCCCTCAGGGCGGGGGGTCCCCTCACTCCGCGCAGGCGCGGCCCCGCCCACCCCCCCGCTCTCCGCGCAGGCGCGGCCCCGCCCCTCCCGCCCGGCCGTCGGAGCGGCGGAGCGGAGCGCGGAGCCGCCATGGAGGCGCCGCCCGCTCCCCCCGCCGTTCCCCCCGCTCCCTGCAGCGCGGCCCGTAGCCTGCAGGACGAATTAACGTGCCCGGTGTGCCTGGAGTACTTCAACGACCCGGTGCTGGTGGCGGAGTGCGGGCATAATTTCTGCCGCGCCTGCGTGACCCAGTGCTGGGAGGACTCGGCGCGGCGGCTCTGCTGCCCGCAGTGCCGGGAGCCGGTACCGCAACGGCTTTTCCGCCCCAACCGTTCTCTCGGCAACATCGTCCACATCGTCCGTCAGCTGGGCTTGCCGCCGGGCCCCGCCGAACCGCCGCCGGGGCCTCCCGCCCCCGCCCCGCCTCTGCCCGCCGCCGCTCCTCCCGGCCCGCCGGGCCCGCCGCGTTGCCCCCGCCACGGGGAACCGTTGCGGCTTTACTGCGTCCAGGATCGGCGGGCCGTTTGCGTCGTCTGTCACCTTTCCCGGGAGCACCGCACCCACACCGTGCTGCCCGCCGAGGAGGCGGCCCACGCCGCGGAGGTCAGTGCTGGGGGGGCTGGGGGGGGGGAGGTAGGGACCCCCCGGGGAGGGTGGCAGGGAGCTGGGGAGCACATACTGCGTGCGGAAAGGAATTGGGAATGCGGTCGGGACCCCCTTTTTTGGAGGTGGTTGTGCACTGGGAGCCTACATCGGGTGCAGTAGGGCCCCCCCTCCTCGCTTGGGAGGTTGGGGTGCGATGAGATTATCCCCCCCCCCCCCCACGGGGAGCCTGTTTGGGGTGCAGGAGAGCACACACACACACACACACACGCACACACCCTTCCCCCCAGGGGTGAGGGATGCAATAAGGACCCTTTCTGTGAAGGGAGAATAACAGGGACACCCCCCACGCCGATTTAGGGGTGCAATAGGGGTATACTGTGTCGTCCCCCCCCCTCATACCCACTGGTGACCCACTGCTCCCAGGGTGTAAGGGAACACCCCCGTGATGGGTACCCCCCATTCATATGTACCTGGGGTGCAGTGAGGATAGTGGGGCCCCCCCCCCGAGGGTGTGGGGTGTGGAATGGGGACACCCCCCCCCCCCCCCCCCCTTCCAAGGTGGGTGCTTTTTCCTACAGTGGGGCAGGATACGGGGTGCAGTAGGGACTTAAATCTCCCCCAGATGGGGACACGCTGGGGTGGGGGCTGACCCCACGCAGTACGACAGGATGGCGGAATATCCCTGGTGCAAAACGGAGCTGGGTTTAACTGGGAAGATACTGGGGATGCAGGTCAGTTTGGGCTCCTCTGTGAAATAACGCTGAACTGACCCTGGGGTCGTGTTTGTGCAGGTGTGAGTATGCAAAATCCCATTAAACACCCCAAAATCCTCAGCTCCTGCTTCCCTGGGCAGAAATGCTCTGGAGTGAGCACGGAGCCTGGCTCCTGGGGGTGGGGGGACTGTTTTTTGGTTGGTTTTTTGGTTTTTTTTTGGTTTTTTTTTTTAGTGCCAAGCACAATCTGGGGCTGAAGTGAAGCAGGAATCCCCCAGGAATGACCTTTTTTTTTTTTCCCCCCCTCCTCAACAAACAAAAAAAAAAAAAAAAAAACCCCAAAAAACGAGCACAGGGTGGCTGAGCAACGTGACGCAGAGCGAATAGGGAGCCTGGCCTCCGGCAGCGTTTAATCTCCGCCAAAACCTCCACGGTGACGAAGCAATGACCCCCATGTCACGATGCGGGGGGGGGGGGCAGGGAAGCTCCTTGTTGGGAATAATTAATAATTAAGAGGCGTGTGAGTGTGGTTGCCTGATCCTGAGCGGCCAGGCCTCGTTTCTCCGGCGAGGTGGAGGAAAACCAAGATGCCGGCCGGGGAGCGGATGTTTACTGCGCAGCAGCGACTGGAGGAGGAGGAGGAGGAGGAGGAGGAGGAGGAGGAGGAGGGTGGCACCGGCGTAGCCGGGGCAAGAAGGGGATTGCGTGATCTTTAACCACTGCATATTAATTCTTGCAAATATCGGTGTCGAGGCAGGTGGCACCAAAAGCTTTTATACTGAATTTTGTACTGAAATCG